GGATGTTATAGATAACCCCTCAACTTTCAAAACATGACTTATCCCCCCTCAACTTTCCTCACTTAACCCCCTAAACTAATAAAATTAAATTTAAAGGAACACATGATTTAGAATGACCTCACTACCCCTAAGACATTAAAATTTCTTCCTTTTACTTTTTTGGTAAAAATACCTCTGATTTCCCCCCCTTCTTTTTCTTCTTTCTCCATCTCCGTTGCTAGTTCCACATGCGGACCCAATTTTTCTTTCTTTTTGGAAAAGTTAAAGTTCTTTTATTTTGAACTTATTCATGCTTCTAATGTTTGGAACAATTGTAATTTTTGGTTTTTTTAAAGATTGGTTTCCTCATTAAAACCCATCAAATTGAAGTCTAATATTTTAGCTAATTTGGTTTTTTGAACTCATGTGAGTTTTCCTTTCAACCAAGGGTATTTTAGTCATTGCACATCTTGAATTAATGATAATGCATGCAAGGTGATCAAGAGGTTACAACTAGGAAAGATTCCAATGACCACTCTCTTTATTATTTTATTTATCTATTTATTTATTTATTTATTTTGGCTATAAACTTCTTCTAAAGATAGCCCGTGAGCATCTAAGATTGTATTAGTCCATATTTGGTAATGTACAAGTTGAATGCTTCGGGTTAACATGAGGGCTGAAAGTTAGCGAAGAACAAATTAAATAAAAGGGTTATTAAGATTAGACTCCCTTCAAGTATCACCCAATTGCAAATAGACCTCTTATAGTCCTATTTCTACAAATAGACAATACTATAGAGGATCTAGTCACCACCGGGTGACACTATATAGCGGGTCCATTCGCAATTCACCCTAAATAAAATTAGAAAGAATATTCATCGATACTGGGAAATGGTAATAGTAAGAAGCAAAATTTACAGGTACTTATGGGGGAGGGGGGGTGCAGATTATAAGAACATGGTTACGATAAAAACCAACTAAATGCAATTTCAAAATCAAAATGATATATTTAATTGTGACTCCTCTTAGGAGAAGATCTAACATCCTAACAAATTTTTGTGGTCAGCTGTATATGAATCCAAGAAAAAAAAAATAATGATTAGACCAACCAAGAGGAGTTGGAGCTAGAGATGCAAGGAGATCGAGTAAAAGGACGAGCTACCAACGAGCGTTGTACTTTTATAGATTCAAGCAGAATGAAAGGGGTGATTCGCTCTCTACATTTGCTAGACCTTCTCGTGCTAAAAGAAAAGGTGATATATATTTTCATCTAAATATTCAATTTCTTCTATAGTCACATTTTTACTAGGATTCCACAGAAATGTATGGAGGAAAAAGGTTTAGTAAATTTCCTTGTGATTAGTTCCCCAGGACAAGGTTGAAGGACAAGCTAGCACAGAGATCCTATCATCTACGGGAAGTAGCAAATGGTAATATTAGTAATCACACACAAAAAATGTTTACATCGGTTCCATTTAACCAATGTGTAACTGCTAAGTAATCACACACCAAAATGTACGTATTCAGAGTCCCGGACTTCCTCAGAATCTACCATGAAATTAATACTCTCAGGTCCATCTTTAATGGAGTCTCTTCTCTAAGAGAGTGCGCTAATCGAGATCTAGTGCTGGGATACAATACTCAGATCAAGATTTTTGAGTGCAATATTTTTAGTTTAAAGTCTCATCAGATCCTTAATTTGTTTAAAGACAACCTAACTAATTGGAAACAAAATTTGCAGACAGTATTTCCACCCTCGAGCTTAAGCACATGAGGCAACTGAGTAGACAGCAAGGAGCGTACCTAAGGTCATGTGCAACACTACTTCAATCTTAAAAGACTTGATTCTATTCCTGTGGGCTTTTAGCTGTGGATGATCACAATGCGCTCCTAGCACCAACCAAGTAGATCTATAGCCAACTCCATTTCGAAAGTTTTACCGGATCCATTCAGTAAAAAAAGGACTGTATACATTTCTGTGTCTACATTGTTTTCGCCAAAAGTTGGTTTTGTTGTCGAATTCATTATATCTTCGGTCGATTACAATAAATTCAAAGAAAAACAGCCTTTTTATAAGACTCTTTTACACAACAAAAAGAAAATTACAACTCTTGAGAAAATAAACGCAGGATCGTTGTTTGGATCGCTGCTTGTGTGGGATCTTTGCCTGTGCCGTGAGCGCTTTGACTCGTGGACCGCCAAGTCACAGATTCTGATTGAATCGTGAGGGGTTTATGATTCTGACTTCGTTTATCGAAGTGAGAAATTGAAACGATATCTTATCGATGTAAGATAGTCGTTCTTCTTGAAATCAAGTCAAAGCCTGATTATCAAGGATTGGCCGTAAGATCAGCACCTCTGCTCTCTCTCTACTCTGGATTGCTTTGAAGTGCTCAAAAATCATCAGCCTTGGATCTCTGCTGGAAGCCCCCTGTGAAAATGGCCTTCGGGGGGTATTTATAACCCTCTGGACGAACAGTGCTCGCGAGACAGCATTTGCTGTCTCGGCGGGCGAGACAGTGTTTGCTGTCTCGCCCAGCGAGACAGTAAATTTGCTGTCTCGCCCAGCGAGACAGTAAAATACTGTCTACATTTCTGGCAGTTTTCGATGTAACTGCTTTCCCACGTTTCAAACTCCGTTATTTTGGCAGTTATCCACGTGATTCTCGCCCACGACGTTTCCCACGTTCTTGAACAGTTAGTGGCCACGTGTCGACGGTTGCAAAACAGTTTCTTGAACCACTGATAACTGTCTCGTGTGCGAGACAGTAAATTCTGTCTCGCACGGCGAGACAGTAAATACTGTCTCGCAGGGGCGAGACAGTGAAAACTGTCTCGCGGGGGCGAGACAGTGAAAACTGTCTCGCCTGGGCGAGACAGTAAAAGTCTGTCTCGCCGGGCGAGACAGTAAAGACTGTCTCGCCAGGTGAGACAGTAAAGACTGTCTCGCCTGTGAGACAGTCTATACTTATGTTCTTCTGCCTTTTTGGATGATTTCCTCTTGAGCTGTATTTGGATATCTTTCAGCATTTTTTGACGCCTACAGATACCCCCTCCAAAGTATTCCAGACTCAATCTTTTATAGAGGAGTTCTGGGATGCTTTGGATAAGATAGATCTTACTTACGATCCTTTCAATGCTTGGTTGAGTAGATCGTGTAGAGGAACCCGTAGGTGGCTTCAACTTTTGATCTCTTTGTCTCTCAATCTATTCAGTGCTTTGTAGAATAGTTAAGATTCTTCCGGCATCGCGTTTATCGCTTGTCCATTGTAGAGATCTTGAATTAAAGCTGGAACTTGTACTTGTGAAATCAGCTCTTGTCGTCAAGTTGACACTGCATATACCCGTTTAGGGGTAGTCAGGTTATTCTCAAGAATATTTTAACTGATATTCTCCAGAAACTTCCTGTTGAGGGTAGGAAAACAGTTTAGACTCGTGTACCTATTGGAGTATTCAGGTTATTCTTAAGAATATTCTGAGTAATATTCTCTAGAAACTTCCTGTTGATGATAGGGAAACAGTTTAGACTCGTGTACCTATTGGAGTATTCAGGTTATTCTTAAGAATATTCTGAGTAATATTCTCCAGAAACTTCCTGTTGAGGGTAGGAAAACAGTTTAGACTCGTGTACCTATTGGAGTATTCAGGTTATTCTTAAGAATATTCTGAGTAATATTCTCCAGAAACTTCCTGTTGAGGGTAGGAAAACAGTTTAGACTCGTGTACCTATTGGAGTATTCAGGTTATTCTTAAGAATATTCTGAGTAATATTCTCCAGAAACTTCCTGTTGAGGGTAGGAAAACAGTTTAGACTCGTGTACCTATTGGAGTATTCAGGTTATTCTTAAGAATATTCTGAGTAATATTCTCCAGAAACTTCCTGTTGAGGGTAGGAAAACAGTTTAGACTCGTGAACCTATTGGAGTATTCAGGTTATTCTTAAGAATATTCTGAGTAATATTCTCCAGAAACTTCCTGTTGAGGGTAGGAAAACAGTTTAGACTCGTGAACCTATTGGAGTATTCAGGTTATTCTTAAGAATATTCTGAGTAATATTCTCCAGAAACTTCCTGTTGAGGGTAGGAAAACAGTTTAGACTCGTGAACCTATTGGAGTATTCAGGTTATTCTTAAGAATATTCTGAGTAATATTCTCCAGAAACTTCCTGTTGAGGGTAGGAAAACAGTTTAGACTCGTGAACCTATTGGAGTATTCAGGTTATTCTTAAGAATATTCTGAGTAATATTCTCCAGAAACTTCCTGTTGAGGGTAGGAAAACAGTTTAGACTCGTGTACCCATTGGAGTATTCAGGTTATTCTTAAGAATATTCTGAGTAATATTCTCCAGAAACTTCCTGTTGAGGGTAGGAAAACAGTTTAGACTCGTGTACCTATTGGAGTATTCAGGTTATTCTTAAGAATATTCTGAGTAATATTCTCCAGAAACTTCCTGTTGAGGGTAGGAAAACAGTTTAGACTCGTGAACCTATTGGAGTATTCAGGTTATTCTTAAGAATATTCTGAGTAATATTCTCCAGAAACTTCCTGTTGAGGGTAGGAAAACAGTTTAGACTCGTGAACCTATTGGAGTATTCAGGTTATTCTTAAGAATATTCTGAGTAATATTCTCCAGAAACTTCCTGTTGAGGGTAGGAAAACAGTTTAGACTCGTGAACCTATTGGAGTATTCAGGTTATTCTTAAGAATATTCTGAGTAATATTCTCCAGAAACTTCCTGTTGAGGGTAGGAAAACAGTTTAGACTCGTGAACCTATTGGAGTATTCAG